CTTATTTTCCAAGCAGCACAGGTACTCTGAAATATAGAGCACAGAAGTTAATATACCAAATAACCTGGACTAGTGTATTAAAGGGATATGTTTAATTTGTTTGAATACAAAGTTAATTAGCTTTCTATAGTTCTGCTTCAGACTGCTGTTAAATTACTGCTTCATTCTGTGATTCTTGGGTTGCTTTTGTGCACTAGTGATGTAATAGATTATTTGTATACTTCAGATTCTTTCTGTTTCACTGATAAAGAATCTGCCAAAGCCTTCTTTTAGTTTCATCTGTTTAAGCCATTTACATTTTCACTTTTGCTATGGTGGAAATCTGTTTCCCTTCTCTTAGACCACACACTTTGAGCTTTTTTCACTGTTTTGGGGGTGACAGAAAATATGCATTAAAAATATGTTATGTTAATTTTAATTTTTAACCATGTCAATTGATTGGTTGATGATTAGTTTCTCTTTTTTCCATTTTCAGAGCAAAATACCACAAGTTAAAATATGGAACAGAGCTAAACCAAGGAGAAATGAAGATGCCAAGTTTTGAATCAGGTATGATGTCATACACCCCTCCACTAATCTCTCATTGTACACATGCTTTATATTCAGTGTGGCCTTTTGTAGACTGCATATAAAAGATGTAGGTTCTTAGCCCCTGGGCAGCATGGTGGTGCAACGATTAGCACTGTCGCCTCACAGCAAGAAACTCCTGCGTTCAAATCCGTCACCTGGCCAGTGTCTTTGTGTTTGGAGTTTTCATGCTGTATCTGCATGGGTTCTCGCTGGGTACTCGGGCTTCTTCCCACAGTTTAAAGACATGCAGTTAGTGGGGTTTTGTAATAAACCGGAAACACATGAGCATTAAACACTGTGATGTAAATCCCTCATCATACGCAGTTCTTTAAAATGTTAATTGTTAATTGGAATTGGATAAGCATAAGAAGATGGATTGATTGATGGACTCCTGACCTTTCTTCTTAGACTTGAAGTAACTCACAGCTTTAAATACAACTGATGAAAGCCATCTCTGTTTTGTGTCCAGCAGGCAGTGCTGTATAAATCACTGTTTCTGTTTTTGTCCTTAGACACCAAAGATTCAGAGGTCTCTGCTGTTCATGCCAACAGTCAGCTCACCTGGAAACAAGGAAGACAGCTGCTCAGACAGTAAGAACATTTGAGCACTTGTATTTGCAGTGGAAGCAAAATGCTGAAATAATTTTTTGAATTAATTTGTTAACAAAAATCAGTATTTGACCAAATGATGTGTAGTTTACAGTGTGCACGTGTTTGTTTGGCGGTCAGGTACCTACAGGAAGTCGGATACACAGACACCATCCTGGACGTTCGTACTCAGAGGGTTCGCTCTCTGCTTGGCCTGTCGGGCTCAGAGCAGAATGGATCTGTGGAGAACAAGAACCTGCAGCACCTGATCAATGGGACCGAGCGCCGCAAGGACAAAAGGTACAGACACACGCACAGCTGTTCACATGCAGTACTAGCCAGTACTTTACTGATTTCAGCTTTTGTGAAAACCGCTCCAGTAACAAAAAACATAAAACAGCAAAACAAACACAAATTGTTAGGCAAGTAAGCAGTTTGTTACAAAGGAACTATCTATAATAAGTTAATTCAGCATCAAGCTTCATTTCTTTGCTCTCAAGGCTTGATTTTGTTTCATGCCCCACTGTAAAACATGGATTCTCACTGTCCACTGTTGTGTTTACCATCTCAACATGAGCAGCACCACATCCCCTTCCTCTCATGCTGGTCAGTGGGTCAGTGTTTATATTATTCTAGCTACATCTGCATCTAACATTTGCCTTAAGTTATTATAACCATGACCTAGCCTTTGCCTAAGATAGTGGGCCCGAACCCAAACCTAACCTAATATTGCTTTCACATAGAGCTGGGCGATAGAACGATAACGATATGTATCGCGATATAACTTTTACTCGATAGAGAAATTAAGCTATCGCGATAGACCTCGCCGCTCTTGTCCTCTAAAAAAAAAAAAAAAAAAAGGTCAGCCAATCCAAATTAAGTAGCGCAGAGCCGAACCAATCACAGCCGCAGCGTCACGTCGCGTGACTTGTTACGTATAGCACAAGTGCCAAGCCGCAAGTGTGTTTGTTTGGGAAGCAGCCAGCGGGTAATGGAGGAAATGAGTGTGCCGACTAGAAAAATCAACCGAGCGTGACCGAAGAGAAAACAGATGATGGTTCCAATGCCGGAGAGATTGTCGAACGGAAGAGCCATAGAAGTTCCGTAGTGTGAAGGTATTTCGGCTATTTCAAGTCTGACAAAAAACAGAGTAGCGTGCACTGTAAATTGTGCCGAAAGCAAGTCTGGAAATACAATAAACTGGTGCATGCGTCACACTGTGCGCCACGTTATTGTTTCGGTGAAATGAATTTCTACAATACTGTTACTGTTAATTCTACTCTCTGCAGTGTTTAAATGCTTACATATACACACAGTTACTGTCCGTCCACACATACGGCTCGGTTCTGCTTCTATGCCGCAGCTTTGTTTACTTTTTCCCACCGAGGCTTCTAGACTTCTGATTGGCCAATATTTCTGCACGGTTAGGAATATAGCGCCACCTGCTGCTTTGGCATGTTCATAGCAGCGTTTTCCTTCATTTCTGCCTTTATGTGTGGACGGGATTATTTTTTAAAACGAAAACGGAAAATCTCCGTTTTCAAAAATACCCGTGTACGTGTGGACGTAGCCTCAGTCTCTGACTGGAAGCGCTAATTCGTCATTCGGCTTTTGTCAGACTAAAGTAACTGTTAAAACTGTTTGAAAAGCTAAGCTATACAACAAGGAGAGATTGAGAATTTCCTTTTAGTTCTCAGTTTATTTGATATTGACAAAAGTTAGTCAGTTTTGTCTGTTCTTCTGTAAAACAAACTAAGATTTATTTTTAGAATTAATATTTTGTTTCTAAGTGGAATTGACAGTTTAGTCTGTTTCGTTTGTTCTATTTTGAAACTTAACGCTTTAGCGGCTGCCTTTTGTGTAGTTTGCAATATTTGCCTTTATTTATCTGAAAAAGTCTCATGTTCCTTAAGTACATCTACCCTGTTGAACTTATTATGGGAAATAAATATTTAAATAAAAACAAGCTGCTGATTATTTCACATTTTACTTGTGAGCAACGGCACATTTAAATCTTACAAATATAGTTATTTGGCTTATATCGTGATATATATCGTTATCGCCTGAAATGAAAAAAACATATCGTGATATGAAAAAATCTCATATCGCCCAGTTCTACTTTCACATGAAAAGGAGCCAAGTCTCCCCAGTGTGACATCTCCCACCACACTGACAGTGCAAGCACAAACACAACCCAGCAGACAACTTAAGTGTAACAACATTGGTGTTTATATCCAGGAGTCCAGGTGATGTTCTGGAGACTTTTAACTTTCTGGAAAACACAGAAGACAGCGATGAAGACGATGATGAGGAGGGGGACCTGATGGATGACATCACCACTGACAAACATCACAGAGCCAAGAAACATAAGACCAAGGTAAACAGAGAGCAGGCAGCCCCTTTTAAATCACCACTGTTGTTCTTTTCCCCTGTACCTCCTTCCTTTACTCTGCCGTCCTTCAACACCTCTTCCTTAATTCTTAACTTGTGTTTTGTTTTTTGTTTTTTTTCTCTCTTTCCTCTCCTGCTATTTCAGGTGGGAAACGAGGGCTTAGCGTCAGAGGATGATGCCGACACAGAGGAGGCTCTAAAGGAGTTTGACTTCTTGGTGACGGCTGAGGATGGAGAAGGGGCGGGTGAGGCTCGGAGCTCCGGAGACGGGACAGAGTGGGGTAAGAGATGTACATGAATCCCACTGACTGTAAATATATGAAGGCTGTGTCCTTTGCTCTGTCTGTTGAATGATATTCACCTTAAATAAACAAATGCAAATTGTAAATTATTGATGATTATTTTCCAATTAATGAATTGTGTGGCTGTAAAATCATTATGACAACAGCTAATGAATATAATCTTGTAATAGAGAGGTACAGTGTGTTTATTAAAGCCTCTCACTCTTCAGCGGAGCCTCTACCATTTCCTACTGGCGGGGGGAAGTCCTTCTTACTTGGGGGGTCAGATGATGTGTTGGAGAGCGTGCTGGGACTGGGTGACCTTGCCGACCTCACAGTCACCAACGATGAAACAGACTATGGCTATGATGTAAGGGGAAAAAAAAACCTAAGCTGCAGTTTAAAACTCAAACATTCTTTAGAAATTGCCCTAACATTGACATCTTCTTTTCCTCAGTTGCCGTCCAGTAAGGAGTCTTCGTTCAGGAAGACATGGAACCCCAAGTACACGCTAAGGAGCCACTTCGATGGTGTCCGAGCACTGGACTTTCACCCCGTTGAGCCCTGCCTGGTCACCGTGTCCGAGGATCACACCCTTAAACTGTGGAACCTCACCAAGACTGTCCCTGCCAAAAAGTAGAGTAACACCAGATGTACACATAAACCTCCAAGCAGAACTACCAGAATAATCAAAAGACTCTGGCATAAATTACACCAAAATATATAGTCTGAGGAGCTTGGAAAGAAAAGCTTCTTCAGTTCTGAACTGAAGAAGCTTCTCGGATGAGAGGTGAAACGTTTTCAAAGAAACCTAAAGAAGTCCAGACTCTTTTCTTTTCAAGCTCCTTAGACTACAATGACCTGGATGACTTTGTTTATGTAAAATAAGACATTGCCTTTACTTAAATAGCCAGCACCTGAACACCTTAGTCTTTGCTGCTGTGATCCCAATGGGACCTTCTCTAGTTACAGCATGATTATGCTTGTTTCTCTTAGCTGAACAGTTCTTGCCATGACTGGGATTACTGCAATAGTTAAATAAGGCTGTTTGCTCTATACCAGCATTACATTAACACAACCTAAGTGATGGTCTTGTATTGAAGAAAGAATTTCCAGTGATTAACTTGTTGCAACGGTTGCTTCTGGAAACCATTTGCAGTGAAGACCTCAGAGCTGGTTGAAATACTGGCAACATTGCAAAGCTGTGATCAAAGCAAAAATCATTTTCTAAAGGGTATCCTAAATTTAAAAAAAAAAGAAAGAAGAAAAAGTTCAGTCGGTTGAGAAAAGAACGCTCAGCATGGACAGTATTTCCTCATCACATAGAAAAGCTTTTATTCACTCTGCTTCAGAGGAAAATCCTCTCCTTACAAACCTGGCAGATCCTTTCAGTATTAGCATCTCATTTTCTCCTCATCACTGCGATTCCATGGCACTATTCTGATCAAACTCACACCACAAGCTTCTGATGTGTCAGTGTCTTACAAATAATCCCTTTAAATAATACCCCTCAGGACTTACTGTCGTACAGGGGCCAGAGGGGCCGATGGCGCGATATGGCAGCCTCGCTTCTGTCAGTCTGCCCCAGGGCAGCTGTGGCTACAACTGTAGCTGCCTCCACCAGTGTATGAATGTGAGAGTGAATGAATAGTGGTATTGTAAAGCGCTTTGGGTGCCTAGAAAAGCGCTATATAAATCCAATCCATTATTATTATTACAGTGAAAAACAGTCACTGCTGCCTGTAACAGAGTTGAAGAAGAGTCTGTTTGATGATGAAGTAACAATCTGCTTGTTTATTTCACTGTTGTTGTTGTTTGTTTTTTCCAGAAGTGCCTCTTTCGATGTGGAACCGATCTACACATTCAGAGCCCATGTGTATGTATCCAAACACACACAGTGTGTCTAAGGCTCTATTTGACTTGATGGTTGAGGTTCCATGGTGTTTTTAACTTTTTCAAGTTACATCAGATTTCTTCACGTTTTAAGTGACACAAGTAATATTAAAAAAAAGTGAGTTGGTTTTTGTTTTTTAAAAAAAAGGTAATTTCAGACCTGTGGTGAACTGCTGTCCGCAGGAAGACAGAAATTATGCTTTTTAGTGGCAGCAGCTATGAATAAATGAGCATTACTAGTGATTAAGACTGACAGGCACCCTGTAGCTACAGCATGAGAATAATCTCAGCAGCAGGAAATATGTCTGAGAAAATGTAAGTCAAACACCAGGAAAAAATTGTTATAAAGTAACAGAAAAGTGTTTAAAAAAAATCTGGAAAATTTAATGGACCAAATTGCCAGATAATAGTAGAATTAAAAATAACTAAAATGCAAATAAAACACTAAATCAAAATAAAAACTGTATTAAAATATGTCTGAAAAGTTGTTTTGTTTTTTTTAATATTTAAAAAAAAAAGAATTTGATTAAAATATCAGAAAATGTCTTTAACAAACTAAAAACTATCAATATCATGTTTGGACAAACTAGATTTATAGAACATTTTTGGTATATTATAGTTATAAAGGTCTTTTCACTGCTCATGTCTAAACTTGCTAGATGTTGATCTCACTCACACTCTTTGTGAGTGTAAGTGAGAGATCTCAGTAACCAGCAGGATTAAATGACTGTCGAGGTTACGTGTTTGCACTTGACATCATCCGTAAATATATGTATTTTATCAAACCTCTGGTGATGATGCTCTTTTCTGTCTTCAGTGGACCAGTGTTGTCATTGGCGATGACCTCCAGTGGTGAACAGTGTTTTAGTGGTGGTCTTGACGCAACCATCCAGTGGTGGAACATCCCCAGCTCAAATGTTGATCCCTACGACACTTATGGTACACACTATTTCACTAAGGGAAAAGGTTTAAGTAGTAGTGAGCCCTGCTATAGTTTGGAGTGGTGCTAACAAAAAGAGGAGAGGCCAAGCTGAAGATGGCAGAGACGGCTCAGGTTGGGCAGATATGAAAAGTTAGAGCGACAAGGCTGAGATGTTTGGGCATGCACAGAGGAGAGGCAGCGGATATATTGGACAAAAGATGTTGAAAATGAAGCTGCTAGGCAGGAGGAAATGGGACCACAGAGAAGATTCATGCTGAGTGTGGACATGCAGAGGGCTGGTGTAGCAGAAGGGTATACTAATAATGGGGAGATGATCCACTGTGGCGACTTGTTATGGTAACAGCCAAAAGAAAAACAAGTAAACCGGTTGTCTCCTTTCATAATGATCTCCTTGTTTTTTCAAAAATATAGATTTCTTAGATTACCTCACATGGCTCTGCTATCCCCAAAAAATTTCTTTTTCTTTTTTTGTTTTATTCTTTTCGGTTCCCAAGTTTGAATGTTTTTCTTTTAGGTCTGCTCCTATTAAGGCTGCTTTCCTCATGTCTTTACTTTCTGAACAAAATGCTGGATTTTAAAAAGATGTCTTTACTTGGGGAAAAATACAATTTTTCGGGAACATTTTATTTCACAAAACCTTACAAAGACACCAAAAATGTCTTCCATTTGTTAAAGTTTTCTCTTTCAATTGGGAATATTTGTCAGTTAGATGAATGTACAGTTATAAAAACAGAAGGCCCCTCTCATTTCTTATCTCTCTTCCAATCAGATCCAAGCGTCCTGGCAGGTTCCTGGTTAGGACACACGGACGCTGTGTGGGGATTGGCATACAGCGGTATCAAAAACCGTCTCCTGTCCTGCTCGGCCGACGGAACAGTGAAGCTGTGGAACCCAACAGAGAAAAACCCCTGCATTAGCACTTTCAATACAAACCATGGTAAGAAGAAGAAAAAGGGTGCGCTTCTTTGCAGGAGGGAGTTTGAACAGACTTGCTGATGTTTACATCTGTCAACAGAGCATGGGATCCCCACATCAGTGGACTTCAATGGTTGTGACCCTGCTCACATGGTGGCATCCTTTAATAGCGGAGACGTGGTTGTGTATGACCTGGAAACTTCCCAGCAAGCACTTGTGCTCAAAGGACAGGGAGATGGCAGTAAGAGCACAAACAACCATGAACAGATATGAGGTGTGTGATGGGTTTTTGAGGACAGTAAACAGTGTTATCCCTTTCTCTCCCTCCTCAGCTCTGTCGGGGTCAAATCATATAAATAAGGTGGTGAGTCATCCCACGCTTCCAGTAACCATCACTGCTCATGAAGATCGACACATCAAATTCTTTGATAACAAGTCAGGTCAGTCTGCAGCTACTCCCCAGCTGTGTCCATCACTCCAAAGATGGTGAGCCTGATTGGTGAGATCAGGTTTCACAGCTCCCACTTCACAGACACTGTGTACAGAGTGACTCAGAATTATTTTGACTTGAGAAAAACGAGTCCTTCAGGCTTCTGCAAGTGCTTAGGTGTGCCTTGTGTCCTCTATGCAGGTAAAGTGATTCATGCCATGGTGGCTCATCTGGATGCAGTGACCAGCCTGGCCGTGGATCCCAACGGCATCTACCTGATGTCTGGCAGTAAGTCTCATAAAAGTCTTCCTGGAGCTCAGAATAACGCATTGAATTTAATTTAGCTTTTTTTAAATTAAATTCTGAAAGTTATTACAGTTCTTCATGCGTGCTGTAGATGGTGACTAGTGAAGATTGAAAGGTTATCTATTAGGGCTGAGTATCGTCATTGATTTCTAGAATCGATTCAATTCCGATTCACAAGGTCCCGAATCGATTTGATCCGATTCTATTCGATTTGAATCAGGGAAATTTTGCCTCAAACAGTCAGAAATATTATAATTCTGATCACGTGTCAGTACATATCCATATTTTTCTATCTATAAAAAGAAAGCTGACACTTGCGAAACTTTATCAAAGGTGTAAGCATCACAGCAGATGCCTTTGTGTCAAAGAAACAGCATAAAACACAGAAAAACATGAAAGCGATTTTCCTGGCCTGGGATTTTATAGCAGATGACCTTAAAAATATTCTGCAGTAGATCAAAGACGAAAGAAAACCATTAATCAACATATGAACATTACATGATGCTGCTGAAGTGAAGCAGAGCAAAGTTTGAGGTTTTATTAGAGACACAGCTAAGGGTTTTGCAATTTTGCATAATTTTAAAAAGTTTTAATTTGCTCAGTAGCATACTGAACAGCAGAAATTAGGTTTTCTTTTCCGAAGTAAGTAAAAGGAAAAAAGAAACAGCGGCCGACAGCGCTGTAAACAACGGCAGTGGGTGATAAGCAAGCGAATAATGCAGAAAACAGAGATTTTTAGATGCGAAACTATTCCTGAGAGAGGGAGAGAGCTGTGCAGGAAGTGTGATTTTTATCTTGGTGGAAGCAAAACAGCAAGTAGGAGGGAATTCATGACGATGTTTATGTGAAGCGAAATGTGAAGCGTAGTTTGGATCTTTTTGCTGCGGGTTCAGTCAGAGATAAAACCTGCAGCTTCAGAATCTAGCGCAAAAAGGACATAAACACAAAGCGCGAAACACCAGAATCTGTGAGCTGTCGGCTTTCAGCCCCGACCGTGTTCGTGCTGTCGGGTGAGAAAGGCGACATCTCACTGATTCTCATGCGTCGGCGGGTCCGCCCTTTGCGTTTACGTCTTTGTGCAGAACCCGTGCTCCTGCTCTCATTTACTGTTTTAGCTGTTTGGTGGTTGTTGAAATTTTGTGAGGTTTAACCTGAGATTCTGGCATTTTGGGCAAAATAAATTTATATTTAAAAATCGATTAGGGATTTTAATGAATCGATATCACGTTATCCAAGCTAGAATTGATTTTAATCGATAAATCGATAATCAAAACCCATCCTATTATCTATGTAAGTTAGTTCAACTTTGCTTTGTACCATTACATGACTGAGTATTCTCTTTAGTCTATTTACTTGTACAGCACATCGCATTGATTATCATGTGTGCTCAACTAGGACACTTGCCTCACAACGGCTTTGTTCACAGCTTTAAGTCAAATGACCTGCAGTGCTATATGTTAGACCCCGTCTGCATATATACCCCTGTCACCACAGTTATTCCTCAATCCTTATGCTCCTCACCTCACCACGAACACTTCATTTGGCAAGCTGGCTTTTCCATGTGAGGAGATTTTTGACTAAGACCCAAGGGCATGCATTTTGTCATGAGCTCTTTCACTCGGGTCACATTAGTGGAGAAAGTCCTGGGAGGTGCTGCTCTTACACGGCACAATCCTCTTCTCAGAGTCCTTTGACCCAGTTTTAGAGTCGTCAGACCGGTATGCTGCCAGTCCTGCTGCGCTGGCTAGCCAAAACAAAACTTCTTTTTCCTTTTTTTTTTTTCTTCTCAGGACTAACCACTGCATGTATCAATCCGAAATCTACTCATTTCACTGTGTCTGGCTATAGACAGGATCTGGAAAAAGCTGATTTAGTTAACCACCACCTATAGATCCATTACTGACAGTTTGTTTGGCCCTGTCTCACAATCCAACCACAGGTTGCCCCCACAGCTCTTCCATCCAAGATTTTCCACATTTCATTCAGACACATTAATCAGGCTTAGTGACAGAGCTCATGGTGCAGGCATTGCCCATCTATGTTTGGATCACTGGTTCCCCAGACAACCCACTGGTGCCTCTCCATATTGAGGTCAGATGTCTTTGGCCCAAGTTCTGTTCAGGTTGTCAGCCCCAAAAGGTGATGCACTTTCCTATCACAGTCTGATAGGCACACCCCCACAAAAACACTTTTGGTGTCTCAGGTTGTAACATTCAGTTTGACATCAGCCGTTCACACTGATTTCCATCCACTGTTTCACTCTGTGTACTTTGACCAAATGTATTAACGAACTGTCAGCTCAATGTGAGGAGTGGTCACATCTTAGCCTATTTGGACAATTGGGGTTTGATAGCAGGATCCAAAGAGCAGGCTGTGATGTGGGTTTCACTGGTCCTGTCACACATTCAAGTACTCAGTTTCTCTGACCTTTCAAAAAATGCCTGCTAACCACAAGTCAGCAGGTCTCTTGTCTTGGGCTGGGAATATGCTCAGTTTCCAGCTGTGGATGTTTGTCAGGGCACAGAATAGCTGCACTCAGTTTCACTTGGGGCACAGACTGCATTTCCACATAATATTGCAATTTTATGTCATGGTGATGGCATGATGGTTGTAGAGCCTGACTGATGTAGTATTTTTCAGACCAATATTTGGTGATTTTTTTTAAAAATAGGCAATATATATTGGCCAATAAAGCTTTATCTTCTAGACACACAAAATATGAATGGATTTCCCTAAAAATTGTTAGGTGTAATCATTTGAGTCCTTACCAAGATTGTATGAAAATGAAATTTAAAAATAGTTTTGTTTTATTGACACGAGAAGTCTTGGATTACTTGCTCTGCCCAACTGCAACTTCCCTGTTGGGAAACGGCAACCAGCTGTCCACCAGACTGCAGTATACTCGGATCAAACTATCCAATGGCAACCCTCTTAACATGGTTGAACGGTCTTTTTTTTTTTTGTCTCTCCTTCCTTATTTATTTTTCAGTTATCAGCAGAACAATTAAAATTATTTGGCAATACTAAGAAATCTCCTTACCAATATATTGGCGTGTTCCACAATATTTAATCAAGGTTTTAAGGATGACAGCATGTCAGTGGTGAATTCAGTTTCTGCCTAGCTGCTCCTTGCATGTTAGCTTTTTATCCTTTGAGAGAGCCCGGCTACAGTGCATGTAAACATTTATACCATTATTATTACAGACAGTGTGTGGCATAACACTAAACATTGGTTCAGTTCATTGTGGGTTGTTGACATTTCTTTATGGGCTTAATTTATTCTTTTAGAATCTTTTTCACTTCAGAACGCTGGACTTTAAACTGTTTAGAAGTCTCCTTATAACCCTTCCCAAACTGAAGGGCAGAAAGAATTTCTTCTCCAATATCATCTTTTTAAAAGCTTCAAACTGCCAAGAACTTCTCCTGTTGCAGAGGTTCTCATACTCACTGATAATTACTTAAGTGCATCTGAGTAGCAGAATCTGGTTGCTACTTACTCTCTTGATTCCTAATGGCGTAGTAGGTTTGGAAGCACTAAGGTTTACATAGTTTTTCTCACTCTCTTAATTTTTTGATACTTAAAATGTTAGAAATGAGAGATGATATGCTTTGTGCTTTTATGGCTATGTATGCATTGTAGCTTGTTCCTGTCCTTTGCTAGACCAGTGTTTCCCAACCACTGTGCCGTGAGAAATGATCGGGTGTGCCGTGAAAGATTATCTGGTTCCACCTGATTAGTACTCTAAATGACTGGCGTGAGTAACGGGCAGAACAATTACATTCTATTGTAATCTCTAAACGCTACAAGAGATGAACAAAATCAACTTTTGGAGAATTACATTCTCTTCCACTAGAGGGCAGTAAAACTACCCACTCTTATTAAATAGAATGCCAACTGCCAGTAAAACAGAAGACGAAGAAGAAATGACATAATCGTCATGCTGTGAATGAGACAATGCAGTGCGTAATAGCAATAGATAAATATTTGAAAAGAACAAGTAGTCAATCTGACCTGGGCCCTGGAGAAAATTCTGACCCAGATGAAGGCCCCAACATGAGTAGTGGTCAGAAAGCAAAAAAGGTACACTGGGGACAAACCAAACCAATTCCACTCTGCCTGATGCACGGGGGGAAATTATCAATGTGCTTTTTGTGACATTTTTGGTTTGATGGTGTGCTGTGTGATTTTTTTCTAATGTGAAATATGTGCCGTGGCTCCAAAGGGTTGGGAGACACTGTGCAGACAAATCTGGCAGTAGTTAATTTGAAACATTACAGAGCAAGCTAATTTTACAGCTATTTAAGCACAGAGAGCTAGAGATTAATTAGCTGACCTCTTTCACTCACTTTCTATGTACATAAGATAGTTTGCAGTTAGTCCAGGTAGCAGCTAAGATAGATTAGGCTCAGCGCAGGGTCAGTTTTGATCACAGGAACTAAGCACATGTGCCTTCGTAAGTCTCCTGCTTCTGCTCATGTTATGGCAGTTAAGGCAACTGTATGACAGAACTGTCAGTGCATTCAAGATTTTAATATAACATTAATCGTTTGTTTCTATCACTTCTCAAGTCAAAAGAAACGGAAATGAGTTTGGTTTGTGCAATTAAATTACTTTGTAACAACATTGACATAATGGCTTACATTTTTTTCTTCTCCTCAGGTCACGACTGCTCTCTGCGTCTGTGGAACCTAGACAGTAAAACGTGTGTTCAAGAGATCACAGCTCATCGTAAGAAGAGCGAGGAGGCCATCTACGACGTGGCCTTCCACCCCTCCAAGGCCTACATTGCCTCCGCTGGAGCCGACGCCCTTGCCAGAGTCTACGTATAGACGAGGAAGAGAAGATTTAAACAACAGAAAAAAGAAAAGAAAAAAGAGGAGATGACCTCGAGGTGAGGGATACAGAGACAGACAAAGAGAGAGAGGGGCTAGTCTGTACACAAACAGGATTCAGGTCTGTTCAGGTCTCTGAACACAGAATATATATTAATATGAAAGACTGGAGAATCTCCAACGGACAACTGAACAAACACACACAGGTTTCTTACACAAATTTTTAAGTTAAGAGGTGGAGTGGTGTGATCTCCCTACAGCTAAGAGACAGCAGAAACGCGTTTAATGATCAACTTGGAGCAGCTTGCCTGAAACCCATCTGGCCCCTCACAAATCCCTAAGGTAGCTTTGACACTACATGCCTGTCCCTATTCACTAACACTACTGTGACTCCTGATCCCAGACAGAAGAGCTGGAGCTGAGGGCAGACGTAAAGGAAAAATCCCCCCAAAATTAGACCTGGTCAGAGCTGGCCAAGGAAAGCAGCCTGACATCTAGATGAGTTAACCCATCGCTCTTTTATTTCTTACTGTTGTCATTTAGCATCGTAATACGGCGGTCAAATGTAGCACATTAAACTGTGGAATCGTAGCACTACAGTCTACATGTTGTGGGGACATTTTTGCACCTTTCCCCTGTTTCTCTTTCTGTCCCACTGGACTCAATGCTGAGAACTGATTTTTACTCATTTGGTAAATGTTCAGGCATGTCTGAGAGGAGACAGTTACAACTCGAAAAATGGCCCTTGTGAGAAGTTGCCTGGAATCTGTATTGAATTCACCCCCATTTGGCTAATTTTTCTCCAATAACTCTAAAGAACTCTACTTTCAAGGCAGTTCAGAGCAGGCTTGCAGTCCCGAACAGTTATAATTGGCTGCCAGTGTTTTCTCTATGTTTGTTATACATTATAAAAGCTCTATTACTCCCCAGGTGTTGAAGCTTCAGTGGCATATGAAACCAAATCTAAGCACAACTGTAGTGCATTAAGCAGTCTGCTCTCCCAGTCTGACACTTCACATGAGGTGATACAGCTAGAAATGTCCAAGAGTGGAGCATTCTAATGAGTCTCCAAAGTCTGCACTTTCTCCTACTGTAATCCATTTAGTAGAGCTAACCACTAGTTGAACTAGCAAAAATATAGAGTAGCAAAGAATTCGAGTAGAGTACAGTTTTGTACTGGCTCTCGCCTGCCTCAGGAGAGAGCATATGTAAAACATCCTCTCATTACACTGATTTCCTGTCCAGACAAAACAGTCTGAAGAAACAATTTTGACATTTTCATGGCTGTGCTAAGCTCTGGTAAAACAGGAAAAACTTAAACACCAGTGTCTTTGTTGTGCTTTGTTACACACTGCTTCTTCACAGTGTTTACGTGGAGAAGAGCGTCTCTGTTCAGATCTTTTTTGTATGTGTCACATGTCCCTGATTGGCTGGATTCATGTGAAAGAAAACTGAAAAGCAACAAGCAAACATCTGACCCAGGTTTCTGAATGCGGCCAGCTACCTGCACAGAAACAAAAAATTGAACTATGTCATAGACTATCATCAATCTTTAAATGCCGAACACTGAAAAGTAGCAGCTATTTAAGTTGATTTTAGACGTTTGGCCTGTTCAAAATGATTTCCAAGTTGCAAAAATACCTAGTAATCAAGTGTTTTGTGTGTAGTCTAATTCATATGTGCATGAGTTTAAAGTGCATTTTAATTAGCTGCTCAAAAAACATTTGCCAATTTATAATCATACAACATCTAAGCTGTTCCACTGGTGGACATTATTCGAGATGCCCGTGTCCCAACACAGGAAGCTGTAAGCTGTTCTATGTATCATCCATAGTATGATCAGAATAGGGGTACTTGTGTCCATGGAAACACTCCTCCTCTCACAACAATTTCAGCATCTGTTTAGTGACAGTGAAATCATATTAGCCACATTAAACCCTGCTGTAAGACTGCCTGAGGAACTGTACTAAAGAGAAAGCCCGGAGGTTAATCAGATGTTGGAGTCACATCTGAGGGGGATTTTTCCTTTAAACCTTCAGAAACGTCAACCTGAGAACAGAACATGTGATGTTTGAACTTGTTTTTTTCTCTCTTTCACTTTTTAATAATTAAATCTGAACTAAAGCTTCTGCAAAGCAAGTTTTACAGTTTGTAAATGGGGAAAAATTAAGAAGAAATATGTTTTGAGCAAACAGAATGGATTTAATATCAGATTTTGTTTTTGCCTCTGAGAATGTTTTGGTGAGAATGGAAGTTTGGTTAATACTCACCGACCTCAGCCTCCTGCTGGGCCTATCAGAGCCCCACGTTTAACAGTGTAACAAGCGGAGGATTCAGCATTACTGTAGTTACATATTTCTGTTTGTGTAAAACAAATCTAGTTTTTATAGTCCTTTTTAATTCTTTTTAAAAATCCACAATATAGTTACTGCCACAATGGATGACCCATCAACCAAAAACCTCACCTCAGTCTGATATGTCAGGACGTCTGGCTTCAGTTTTGGGCCCTGATCTCAGATCATGTAAACACAGGAACTGCTGCTGCTGAGTGTTGAGACAGCTGAGGAGAGGGTCAGCTGTATCTGTTAGTGTCTGTCCTGATGTTAAATATCAACCTTTAATATACATTTGTCCATTCGAGCTAATGTCTAACATGGCACCCATTCCAGTGTGAAACAGCAGCTTATCACAGTGATAAGGTGTTTGCTCCAGAGGGTAGAGCATGCAAGTCCAATATCATCAACTGAAAGACTCCAAGCACAAGATACATTTTAATTACTCCACAGTGAAACCCTTGCGTCTTTTACACAACAGCCTTGGCATGTTAACTATTAGCTTTGTCTTATGCTAGAATTAGTTTTAAAAAGTTACATTTTTAAAAGACTTATTTGGCATAAGAAAGTTACATTTATATGCCAACTTAATGCTGGTGTAAGACAGAACTAATTATGTCCTGTAAAGAAATGTACAAACAAAATTAATTTGCATAGAAAATGTAATCCAAGCATAAAAATGCAGACCTATGAATAAATGCAAGGTGCCAAATGCTTACTAAGTCATTCTGTTCATTCTAATTTACACTGCAGTATCTAGTCTTTGTCACTGCAGCCAATAAAATCACTGGGGGAAAAAAAAGCCTGACCAACTCCTTCCTAGGCCAGTCTTATATGACCTTGTTTATGTAGACTGGATAAAATGACGTGAGGTCATAGCAAAAAGGTTTTACAGGTGAGAACTTCTTGAACTACAAATACACAACTTGCTGAAATGATGCCTTTTCCTCACAGTCAATATATTTGGCATCTAATTAGCTCTGTTTGTTTGTTTTGTTTGTTTTTTAACCTGTTAGCAGTCGGACGTACCGCCCACGGTACATTGGATGGTTTAGGGGACTAATTGGACTGCTAAGGGGTTTTAAGAAATGAAGTTTTAAAATGTTGTGTACACTGTACACATGAGCAGTTTGTTATAGTATAATACAGCTGCCATAAAGATCATTTTGATATGGCTGTAATTTTTTTTTGTTATCATTTGGAAGGGAGGTCATGGGTATAAACTACAAAATCTCATCAGGTTGAGAGGTGTTTCTAATATTCTGACCCATCAAAAGTAGTTTTTTTTTTTTTTATTATATTTTCTGTACACTCACTTGTGTCAGAGTTCCACATTTTACATGTTGAACCCACAGAACTGACTCATTTGTATACGCGTACACACTCTTACACATGCAAGTATGCATTTTTGACACTATCACTAAGTGGAATATTCTGATATTTGTGAAGACAGATCTTACAGCAAGGCAGCTGTACTAAACACCATCCGTGTTTAGGTACCTATAATAAAGTGGTCACTGTGGGGGGTTCTTTTGCTTTGTCTTGTTTTTTTTTTAAATTTGTTGATTAGTAATAAGCAAATTTAATTTATGTAAAAACAAGTTTTGTCCTCAAACAGGGCAAAGAATAGTTTGATGTACACAGCTGCTCCAGTTAAAGGCCAACTTCCAATAACAAACCAGCAAATAATTGGTTTAATGAGCTGGGAAATGGTACCTGAATGCAGCACGAGCTCAGTTCGAGTGTGAACCGGTGAAGTTACAGCTTTGTTTGGTTCAGGCTGAGACTTCTGCTCCTCTGCCTCCATCATGTCGCTTCAATCTTTGAAAAGCTGCTGTCTCACTGGCTGGCCCACAGGGGGAAGTCTAATTTGTTGTTCTGGTTTGTTACGATCCACAGTTTTATTATTATATAATTTTTTTCTTTTATTTTCACCAATGCTACAGTTTACTGTGTAACTCTCGTTTGTGTAATGCATGATTAATACAATAAAATATTTTTTTTAGTCTTCCGAAAAATGAAAAAAAAAATTCTGTTTGCGAGATTTGATGAGTTTTGTGTTTTGTTTTTTATTTACAAACTATGAACAGCAGATTTTAAAGGCTGTACCACATAGAATACAGCTGTTGAAATGTACATAAAATGTCTATAATAACTATTAAACTGTGTACCTGTACAACACCTGCTGCCTGCTCTTCATTCTGTAGGAAAGCACTCGGTGTGTTCAATAGATTGGAGTTCCTGTGGTCCATATACCATCAAATTAAAATTAATCAAATTTAGTCATTGCAACATTTAAGCAATGGAACGCTTGTCTGCAAGCTTTGCTGTCTGTTCTACAGCAACAGCACAGGTGATACAGTGACTGCTCTTTCTTGTGCTGTTTCATTTTCAGGCAGCGATAAATCAAATGTCAGGTGGTAAAACCACCTAAAGTGATGTAAGGTGCTAGTGTTGGAGGACTTGCACTAATGGAAGCCAGAGGTTTTGTTTATTCAGATAATATAACTTTCTTCTTTCTTTTTTTTTTTTTTTTTTTTTTTTTTTTGTCATTGGACAGTCATACTTAGTGCGATGGTACAACTAAACTGGAAACTGTCTCACGTCAGTGTGAGTATGTCAGCACACTTTCAATGGAGCAACAGTAGAAGACGATCAGCAGCTCCTTTCTGAGGATTTTCAGAAAATGGAGAGGCTGTTGGGCCTTCTTTAAAACCGCCAAGGTGTTTAAGCTCCATTAGAGGTCTGTGTCTATGTGCACACCCAGGAACTTGAAACTGGCCCCCTTTCCACGTCCACGGCTGCAGCAAAGACTTCCTGCCTCTGAAGTTGATTGCCAGCTCTTTTGTCCTGGTGATATTGAGGTCCAACTTGTCGTTTGCACACCAATCCGACAGCCTCTGAACCTCAACTCTGTATGCTGTCTCATCACCACCAGAGATGAGCCCCACCACAGTGGTATCATCTACAAACTTACTGTAGTGTCTGGGTGGGTACTGACACAGTCATGTGTACAGCAGGAGACTCGGTACACAGCCTTGTGGAGAGCCAGTGTTAAGGCTAAGGGCTGGGGAAAGATGAGGCCCCACTCTAACTCTCTGTACATGGTCTGAGAGAAAGTCTGATCCAGCAGCAGGTGGTAAAAGGAAATCTGATATCCAGCAGATATCAATCTGTCCGGGAGTATCATAATAAAGGCAGCACTAAAGTCAACAAAGAGCAGCCTGGCGTGACGCCCCTGTTGTTCAAGGTGGGAGATGGTGGTGTGGAGTGTTGTAACACTGGCATCTTCAGTTGATCTGTTAGCTCTGTATTCAGTGGTAATCTTCAGGCACAGGCATCATGTTTTCCTCTGTTTTTTAACAATAATGACAATACAAATGAAGAATAATTAAAATTAATCATATTAACCTGATCTATGAACCTGATCTATGAAAAAGTCGTTTGTAAAATTTCATCTCAATCGAAAGCTTCAGTAAAATTTCCACAGCTGTGAAGTTGCTATACACAGATACCAGGTGAAATAGCGACGGATCTGATCTGATTCACAGGATGTGAATCAGAAAGGCACACACACTCATCATGGGCATAAATGGTAATTTTGAGCGTTTAGTAATGTCTTTGAACTGCTCTTTTTCCAGGGTGAAATGATTATATATTATACATCTTTAAAGACTTAAAAAACAAGAACTCGATGTAGCACTTTGAATTTATTTTGGGGGATTATCTCCAATCCACACAGGGTTAAAAGTCAGATAAATCAATTTTCCCTCTCTTCCTGTACTCTCTCTGTCTGGTGTTTTGCCAGCGGAGGAAAACATCCAAAGTAAAAAAAAAAACAAAAACACAAATGTCCTTCTGATACTTTTATCCAAAGCTCCTGAAGCAATTTCCTTGATAACATCTTCAACTTGTAGTTTGTCCCAGTTTACCAGGATCAGCCTTTCCCCCATCTAGGTACTGTTTTTTTTTTGTTTTTTTTTACTGTTTCAGTGAGTATTTAATGGTTAGAATATCGGATTTTCTGGTGTCCCCTAAAGCCTCTGTTTCAGGTCCTGTTTCTTTTGTGTGACCACAAGATTTGGTTTTGCTTTTTAGAAATGTAACAGTTTCAACTGAAATGTTTGAAACCAAAAACACACATAAAGACAGGAGACTACATTATAAGGATTTTATTTAAGAATTAATCTTGAATTTTAATCTCCATCTTCTAGATCAGGAAACAGGGAACCATCAGGTTCACTGCAACTTTGTGCAGCTTGACCAGTCTGCAGTCAGTTCGCTCTTTGGTTGATGGCTTCCTGCAGTCTCATTTGAGGCTGTGTTAAGGAATAAACATATATTCTTAGTGCTTATTTTCTGATTATATTGTTTTATGTATTTTAGTAATAAAGGCTTGTAAAGCAAGGCCACTTTTGACTCATAAACTAAGTGCTCAGCCAGACTGAAAAACAGGAAGTTAGTGTAGAGCTATACAAGCATATAAATAAAAACAGGAACCCAGACAAAAAGAGAAACTAGTAACATATAAGGAGTTGTTTGTATCAAAACTATGTGTGACGTGTAAAGTACGGGTTTTCTCTGTTCTACCATGGGGATCAAAGAATCGGGTTTAATAGCTGACTCTTTCGATCTTTGATAAAGTGTGTGATTATGAAATGAGGATGTGATCTAAAGATAAAGATGGGAAACGTGTTCCTTTTTCTCCGTTTACTGAACTCGACTGACATTTATCCTAATAATTTTCACTTACCAAGTTTAGAATTTTTATGAATTATAAGCAGTGATAATGACTGAGAACCTTCACAGACAAACAGTGATAATCAAAATTCAAACAAAGAAAGGGCTTAAAATATTTCACTTCATGTATTAAGAATGTACAACTCTATGTAATTTATGACCAAAAAACCTTTTCCACAATTTTCTTTTTTTGGGGGGGGGTTCCGATTGGTTCTTATATAGCACTTTTCTAGCTTGAGTGCTTTCTATGCAACATCCACACACACATTCACACTCTAATGAAAATATTAGCTAAGTGTTTTATTTTATTTACTGATTTACACAGAGGGCTTTACATTTACATTAGGCTACATTTTATAAAGCATGAAGACTCCTGTTTGTAGTGTCCCTGGAGACACAGACCTCTATCACTGGATTAGCATGTTGCTGAAGTAACAAGCTATCAGCTACATTGTTAACAGAGCAACAGCCAATAATAAAGAAGAAACTCCAGTAAATGAACTCACGTCTCTGTTCCTCATCGTTTCCTGTTGTCTATATTTTGGCCACCAGATGGTGCCCTGTCTATGTCAGTAACATGAACACAGGCAAGTGGAGCAGGTGCGAAAACAGCTACTGGCAAATATAGAAAATAAATACAGTTAAATGTTTCCATCAAAGAGTCGCAATTTAAAAATACTTGGCCAATTCTTTCCTCAGTTTAGAATTGTGTAAATTGAGTATATGGACATTTTTAGAAGAACTGATCTCTTGTCTGACAGATGAAGTGTCAGATTCCATACAGAGGGGATTTTGTGATGATAACAAGCACAATTTTCCGAACTTATTTACAGACGAATTTTTTGTCTTCAATATAGTTTCGATATAAAAATCCAATATGGCAAAATTTTAAATGTGACAGAAATGACGATGATTACTTAACTGGTGAAAAGAAACATTTTCTTTCTTTCTTTTAAACTAGCACCCTGCCTCAACTTACAAACATGTTGTTTGTAATCTGTCAAAGACTAAATGCAAACAGATGCAAAAATTGGCAAACAAAATGCAATAAATTTAGTAAAACAAGCTACTTCAGCCACTATTTTCTTATATCTCCCTACCTTTAAAACTGTAGTTGTTCAGACAGCAGATTTTTAATCATAATGGAGAAAAAACAGGTAGTCCTGCTCTGAGTCTTGCTCAAAGCTAAATAAATGATATTTTTCTAAAGTAATGACATAAACCAAAAGATTTATGTGTCTAGGTGTACAGTGTAAACACAGCAACACTTCTGTCCTTGTTAATGAGATATTACAGAGAAAGAGACTGCACCTTAAGGAAATCCACAGACATCTACACAGTTTGTATATTAGAACAATAACAGACGTGCCAAATGGCTTTATAGGTTAAATAAAATATGTCAAATAGGAGATGACCAAAGACTTTATTTCTGTTTGGCAGAATTTAACAAACAATCACCGGTAAAACATATACCAAAAGAAAAGTCATGTGATCATATTGGAGCAAGGCTGTGAGATGGAGTTAAGGGCATGGGTTAGTCTATATAAAAAGTTGAAATCATCAGATGCCACAAATCAGACAAAGTAAAGAAAAAGAAAAAAAAAAAACTAGAGGATTTTATACACCTTCCTGCAGGAAATGACTGCTGTGCAAAGCTTTCACCCCCGGCAAGCTTTTCAAGACAAACATTCATCAGGAGAGCTGCTCTGTCTACAAACTGTTAGCTGTTAGAAAATATTCCAGAATAATCTCTTAGCAGCTTTGTGATATAAACATGAATGTACATACTACTGTTAGTGGATTACCCATGATATATATAAAAAACATATTTACAAAGTAACCTTTGAAAAGTATTTTTTTTACTCAGAATTATAAGGCCTATTTCATGTAAATTAACAATGGGGATTGTATTTTGGGCTCAAAATCTATTATAATGCCTCATTCAATGTATTCCATGGATTATGAATATATTCCTTATACCCTCCATGGCTAAAACCTATTTTAAAACTTTTATAGCACAAAGCTAGCATTTTTCTTAAACAATCATACCTGATCGAAGATTATTGTTTAGCAATTTTCTTTCATGTTGTTTTCTGCCTTCATATAGCTTTTTTAAAATTTAATTTTATTTATAGCTACACACTGTAATGGCTTCAGATTGGACTTGTCATTGTGAGGAGTTACTGATATTTTCATACAGACAGCTAATTATTGTTATTAATTAGTTGATTTTTGAATGATTTTCCAACAGCTTGTTGAAAAATTTAAATAGAATTAACATTTTAATGTGTAAGAGACCTTTATGTACATTAATGTGTTTTCTGTATTTGTAAATAAATGTGTACAGTATATATACAGATGTATATATGTTATTGAATTTATGACGGGTTTAGCTAATGGCAAGTTTTATAAGAAGTGTATTTTTAAGGAATTGAGTCATTATTTAGCTCGTGAAACTTTGAATCATTGCACTGTTATAATGTGCTAGGAGGATGTTCATGATTTATTTTAGAGAATATGATTTGAGATCGGTAAGCTACAAAGGCACATTTCACTTTTAGACTATTAAATGAGAGCCAATTAGAACTACTGTTACTGTTACATGGAGAACTGTGAATGTCATAGAGAGCTATATCTTGTAGTAAATAGGTGGTGGGGTTTTCATACTTTAGGTGCAAACAATATCAGTTAAAGTATGCTGTTAAGTGTCGGTTGGAGCAAATCAGTTCAGGTAACATAATTGATTTAATAGAGATTATAAATTTAAATAAGTGGTTGTACTCACACAAAAAAACAAGTGTTGGACACTTTGTGTAGGAAATTGTAGGAAAATCCATTGTCCTTAAATATATCTGTTTCTTTACATGTCTGAGTACACAGTGTAAAAGAATATAAGAAATAAGATATATAAAAGATGTTGCTGTAGAAACTTTTGTCACTGTAGATACGCGTGTTGTTCTGACAGTGTTTATGTGAATGTAATGGTCGTTCATGTGACTTTAATCAGTACTTTCTAATGAGGATGAACGACGAGGTAAGGGTCCTCACAAATAAAGAAATGCAAACCCTTGTGTGTGTTCTCAGTTATTCTCAGTGAAGTCTTTGCAAATGCCTCGGACCACTAGTGGGATAAACTCAGAAAGGCCGCTGAACTCTCTGGTGAAGAAAGTGTGGCTGTCCTTTGGCTCTGATGACATCGCTTTGAGATCATCCAGGGGTGCCCACGCCACGCCCACTGAGAAGATGGTAATGCCTGGTTGGGAAGGAGAAACAGGCGAAAAAGTGAGATGTCATCTGCATAGCAGTGAAGATGAATGCTAAGCCTTCTAATGATACTGCCTACAGGAAGCAATGTAAACAGAACTGGTCCTAGCACTGAACCCTGTGGAACTCCATAATTAACCTTAGTGTGTGAACAGGACTCTCCATTTACATGAACAAATTGCAGTCTATGCAGATATGATACAAACCACTGCAGTGCAGTACCTGTAATACCTACAGCATGCTCTAATTGTTCTACAATATTATGGTCAACAGTATTAAACGCTGCTAGACCTCACTAGCAGGACAAGCACAGAGATGAGTCCACTGTCAGAGGCCATAACAAGATCATTTGTAACCTTCACTAAAGCTGTTTCTGTGCTGTAATGAACCTGAGTGAAACTCTTCAAATTAAGCCATTCCTCTGTAGATGACCTGTTAGCTGTTTGACAGCTACTCTTTCAAGGATTTGTGAGATAAGGGGAAGGTTGGAGATTGGCCTATAAGCTAAGCTGGGTCAAGAGATGGCTTTATAAGTAGCTGTTTAACTACTGCCAGCTTGAAGAGCTATGGTAGCCAATTATTGAGACAGGTTGATCATATTTAAGATTGAAGCATTTTTTAATGGTAGGAGTTCTTTGAGCAGTCTTGTAGGAATCTAAAAGATGATGGTTCGGATGACGTAATTACTGAAGTTAACTCAGAAAGATCAATTGGAGAAAAAGACTAAATAAATATCAGTGGTACTGAAAGTAGCTGTATATAATGTTACATCTGCGAGATGACGAGGAGTAAATTTTTCTCTAATGGCTAAAATTGTACTTGTGAAGAAGTTCATGAAGTCATTACTAGTTAACGTTAAAGGGATGGTTGGCTTAACAGAGCTCTGACCTTTTGTCAGCCTGGCTACAGAGCTGAAGAGAAACCTGGGGTTGTTCTTATTTTCTTCAATCAGTGATGAATAGTAAGATGTTCTAGCTTTAAGGAGGGCTTTCTTATAAAGCAACAAACTATTTCTCCAGGCAAAATGATGATCCTCTAAATTTGTGACACGCCATTTCCTCTCCAGCTTACGAGCCATCTGCTTTAGGCTACATGTTTGAGAATTATACCACGGAGTCAGGTACTTCTGATTTGAGGCTCTATTTTTCACAGACATCAGTATCCAGTGTCATACATAGTGAGGAGGTAAAATTATTAACAAGATAACCGACCTCTGTGGGAGTAGCGTTCGGGTAGCTGCTCTGCACTGTGTTGGTACTGGGCATTAAAGATGATAACAGTGGGTGGATCATATTCTTAAACTCAGTTACAGCACATTCAGTTTGGACTTTTTGAATACAAAACATGTCAGTGAAATGTTTGTGAAACAACACTACAAACACCGACTCTGTTTCCAGTGAAACAGAGTCACTGACCCTGCATGGAACGTGTTCCACTGAACTTGTTCTGGAACGGGGCTGGGTCGGGGCAGAGCAGCCAGGGGGAGAGGTTGTCAAGCCAGCTGTTTCTTTTTCATTTTGATTGCAGCAGCAGGGGGAGGAGCAACTTGAGGTCTGGAGACTGCTAGTCCATGGATTCTTTGGACCCCCTACAGCCTGGCCGGCTGCCTGCACTTTAGGGAGCCTCAAAGGCTAGGACCTTTGAGGAAATATTGCCTTCTAGTTTCAATCTCACTCTAGCTCAGCTTGGTAAGCTATAGAAGAGACACTGAATGCTCTTGCTGACAGAGACCTTGTAGCACTTATCAGTAAAGCTGGAATAGAAGTGGTCTTCCTTGAAAGGGAACAAAGATCATAATGATGGAGAAGTCTTCAGGTGAAGATAGCTTACTCCCAAGAGATGCACTTGGGCATGTAGCAAAGGCCATGGGACTCCATTCCTTAGCAGTCCAACAGGGATCTTCCTGTCCAGTATCCAGCGTATCCAGAGTAGTTTATCAAATTGCTCAGGAAAAACAGCCAACAAGTTTTGGCGGGTTTTTTTTGTTGCTTTTTGCAATTTCTTGCCATTACAAACACGATTTTACAAGCTCAGTTTACACATTTTCTCTCTGTACCCCTATTACAAAAGAAAATTCTATAACACAAACAACCTTGAAAACTGAGCCGTATGAAGTGAGGAGTAACATCAAATAGCTTTCATTTATTGTTTTCACACATACCTTGCTTATGTGCAGCCATTGCTGGGCCTCTGACGTCATCATACGATTGGCCATCTGTCACCACTATGAGAAAATTGCGACCCGGTCCTGTTCGTCTGCCATAAACAACAAATACAGTGTAACTTCTAATACAGTTAAAAAAAACCCTGCAGAATGTAAACACAGTTTTCAGAAATTTGATTTGAGTATTTCCATTTTTGAGTATTTTAGATCGAACCTTAAGAGCACCTGACATCTGTCTCTTGTTGTGGTACAAATGTTAGCGTTATTTTCATAAAATTACATTTTCTAAAGACAAAGATTAACACTTCTTCATCATTAATTATCTCATTAAGTATTGCAAGGCCCTGCAGTTTCAATAAAATAATGAATAAAATAATTTTTTAAGGCTAAACTTGCCAACACTGCAGGTGTGGAGAGCTTTGCTTAGAAAGAAAACAGCACCACTGTTACCTGAACAGGTTCTGAGTGGTGTAGCTTATGGCTGAACCGGTCGATGTTCCTCCACTCATGTAGGAGATCCTTCTCAGAGCATTGATGGCATCGTCCTTGTTTGAGTAGTCAGACAGGCCAAACTCTAATCTCTGTTCATAGGTGAACTGCACTGCACCTACAACACCAATGCAGCCAGTCAGCCAACCAGCATTAATAACGTATAAGATAATCAGTGGTTTGCATGTTGTGAAGCTGACCAATGTGAGCTCCCACATCTGAGATTTCAAAGCTTCTTGCAATTCCTGCTAGGAATTCCAGGACAAGTTGGAAATTCCCATCCCCAACGCTAGATGAACCATCGATGAGAAAGCCGATGTTCACAGAATTGTAACAGGTTTTACCTAAAAAATACATTTTATGTCAATGTCACAGCAGAGCCACGTCCATCTAAATAATCAAATGTAAATATTATGAATTCATTAATTTTGTTTCTCTAATAAACAAAATGACTTAAAAAGCTATACTGTTAATGGTGAAACCACAGCTGTAAAGAGATGATGCTGAAGAGACTGAAAGTATTTTCATGTGATAGTTGCATGTCCAAAAGATATTTTATAGTGTAGCAATTCTTTCAAAACTTTTTTTCCAAGCAGAAAACAATCTTATTTCATTTTTCTTGGTCAAATCTGATATTACAAAATTAAAGAATTATTGGTATTGTTTTTAATGCAAAGGTACAACTGTTAATACCTTAATATTTGATTATCAAATGTAATGTGATGGCCATGACCTGTGTGTTTTCAAAGGTATCTCCTGACAGCTGCATTACAGTAGTTGATGAAGGTGTGTCTTACTACAGAGCAGGCCGTCTAGTGAACAGAGTCTCTGAATGAGAGGTCTGATGTGTTTGGTGGTGCTGAACCAGCTGGGGATTGGATAACTGAAGAAACCGTTGTCTTTACACACAGCCTGCAGGAGGACAGGTAGAAATTCTGTCATTAATACAAAACATGTTTACTGTGATTTGATGAATGCCTCTTGGGTTTGACTAAAATAATAAAATAATAATTCAAGTTTCTACTTTTATGCTGCACATAACCACTCTCAATAACCGCATGCATATGCTACATTTTTTGTTGTTGTTTTTTTGTTGTCCAGCTGAGCATGGATGGACAGATTGTGCTTTTTGGAAAATTTTCAGCTAAGGCAGTTCTGTTTCAGACTTCTAGGACCTGTATCAGGTCCTTTTTGTTTTTTGGAGTCATAGACACAATACTGAACACCAACATGTTCAAGCAGAGTTGAATTCTTTGTCTGAAAACAGGATCTGTCTGAAAACTGCTGTTTGTTTAGGGTCAACATTAGACAAGGTTTATATGCGATTTTGTGTTGTTTAAAGGGAACTAAAAATCCAACTCTGCAACCGTGGACACTATTAAAGTAACTTTGCATGAGTCACTGTTTAAAATAATCCTTATTTATCTTAAACCAGGGCAGATTTCCTGTCTAAAACACAGCATTTTAACTTCCTTTCCCTGGCCTTAATACAAAGTCTTACTGGACTTTTGCAAGCAGAAGTTTTGAACAGCAGATGGGTGAGGCTTCTGTGCTCACATCTTTGTGTCTGAGATGTCCATATTAAATGTATCCTCTCTTTTGACAACAAGCATCTTCTGCACATTTACTGACCTCATTATCTTAAATTTTGGCTATTTTTACTATGTACATGCATCACTGTTTTTATATGAAAGAAAAAAAGGAGCAGCATAATGTATCCATTTTAAGTTTAAACTAAACAAGAAGGGACAATTCAGTCTAAAGTATATTTCATGTTAGAATGTCACTCCTTATTAATGAAACATATGAACATTTATCTAACATTTAGGCAATTCAAATAACATGTGAACCTTCTTCATGAAGTCTTTGTCTCGAACCATGCTGAGCTCCTCAGGCGCTGGTTTGGCGACAGACACCAGAAAGACATTGATCCCACTCTCTCTGGCCAACATGGCCGCCTGGTCCAGGTCATCAGATGGCCAGCCATCAATTAACACCATCATCACCCGGGGGTGACCCCTTCTCCCCCCATTCTCCTGAGAGAAAAAGGTCTCTGCTGTATGCATGATGGCTTTACCTAGGAAGACCAACAACACGATAAATATTTTTACATTACCTGGTTTTTGTTTTTGTTTTGTGTTTTTGTCCCGTTTGGATCTATAGCCATCAGATTGTTGTCTTAAGGCCAAGAAAGATGCCAAGCGGATTTAGTTTACCAAGTGGATCATCATGGCCTCGCCATATTGGTCCATTTGATTGACCTTTATTATAATTATGTATTTATTTTATATTATTTTCGGTTGCTACAAACGAGACAGACATGACTGGGGGATAGGACAGGGGGAAAGAATGAAAGAAAGAGAGGGAGAGAAAGAAAACCAAAGGGGAGAAGAGACGGTGAGAAAGGGGGGAAGAAAGAAAGAAAAACAAACAAAACACCTGGATCACCTGTTTTTTTTTTTGTCTAACTGATGAAAGGAATGCAGGCAGGGTGGGGGAAACGTATGAATCGATTCACATTTATTTTGGTTGTTTTAAGTTATTTAAGTTAAAAACAGGCGACTACTGACAGAAGGATAGCAGCAAGCGTGATAGGGATGGTAGTGAGAGAGAGGTAGTGATATGATGACCAGTTTGGATTATTGTAGGGTCTACCTTACAATATAAAGCACCTTGAGACAACTGTTGTTGTGATTTTGCACTATATAAATAAGATTGAATTGAACTTTGCCAGGTAGTAGGTTAGATTTCCTCCACAAAATGTGGGAGACTGATGTCATACAGACATTAATGCTGTTAAAGATGATCCTACAGCCTACTGAATCATCACATGTACTTACTCTTTTCACCTCATTTGATCATAAATGAGGAAATTTTGTCTGATTGTCACCTTTTCAAAGAGCTATGGGCTACAGGATGTGTATTTTTAAACTTTTCAATTTATAATTCAGGTTAATCAAGATATGTGTAAGTGTGTGTTACCTGTATTGGAGTCTCCTCCTAGGTAGGCCAGCTCCTTAATAGCAAACAACAGCTCTTTAGGTTGAGTGTAGTTAGTCAGTAGGAACTCTGTCCTGGGAGAGTCACTGCAGGCACATATGAAGACAAATGTTTAGTGTATATGTATATATCTGCATTTTTGATGTAATAATTCTTATCTAGCCCTTAAACCTAACTTTAATCTAAACTTTAAAAAGCATAAACCTGAGTTCACTCATAAGGGAGGTAAAAGGAATTTTATGTGGCATAGTATAACACACCATTGGATACTCTATTAAAGACCCGATTTCCTTTCAGAATTGTCTAAGTTCATTGTGACACAGATTCAGCAGTCTTCAATAGATTGTTGAAGCTGTGAGTGATGGACGTTTTCCTCACAGAGTTTGATCAATACTGAAATGATACAATTGATCATCAGTTGTTGCAGATTTGTCAACAGAACATCTATGAATGAAATGTCCTCTTTTCCATTTTTATTTGGACTAATGCCTGACAAGTTGCCTTTATTTTTTTTTACATTTATTTACTCACCACTATCCCAAAATACCACAATTCTCAAGACTTGTTAGTATAAATGACATTGTTGGGTGGTTTAAGGCTGAGGTAAAAAGAAAGAAATAAAGATTTTTCTGAAGTGACTCTGTGTGGTGTGCCCGACCTGGCCTGTATTAAACCAATATGAGGTCCTATTGGTCCGACTCTTAGCATAGCCGCCAGTTTGGCAATAAAGTTCTTCTGCAGGTTAAACCTCCGCTGCCCAATATTGCTGCTGCTGTCAATCACCATCGCAATGTCCATCTGACAATCTGCCCACACAAAAAAGTAAAGATGTTGATCCAGAGATTAATAACATTGATTATTTTTATGTTCAGTGTTACTATAGATAATAATTATTTTTGCAGTTTTTGCTTATATAACTTTCATTAAATTTTATTTGACCTCTGTCTACACTCGTGTTTTGGACTTTTTCCATCCGATATAATTAAATATAATAAATAAGAACTTTTAGTGTATATGCTAAGATATAAATGGGTGCTGGAAGATAGTTCGGTTAAGTATAAAACAGGACTAATGCTTGCACTCTTCAGTTTTGATGTATTAGTTAAAACTGAGGTTATTGTACTCGGCCCTGAAAATCTTAGAAATATGGTATCTAACCAGATTCTTACTCTGGATGGCATTACCTTGGCCTCCAGTAACGCTGTGAGGAACCTTGGAGTCATTTTTGACCAGGACATGTCCTTCAACGCACATATTAAACAAATATGTAAGACTGCTTTCTTCCATTTGTGCAACATCTCTAAAATTAGAAATATCCTGTCTCAGAGTGACGCTGAAAAACTAGTTCATGCATTTATTACTTCCAGGCTGGACGACTGTAATTCATTATTATCAGGATGTCCAAAAAACTCCCTGAAAAGCCTTCAGCTAATCCAAAATGCTGCAGCAAGAGTCCTGACAGGGACTAGAAAGAGAGAGCATATTTCTCCTGTTTTGGCTTCCCTTCATTGGCTTCCTGTTAAATCCAGAATTGAATTCAAAATCCTGCTCCTCACATACAAGGTCTTAAATAATCAGGCCCCATCTTATCTTAATGACCTTGTAGTACCATATCACCCTATTAGAGCACTTCGCTCTCGCTCTGCAGGCCTACTTGTTGTTCCTAGAGTATTTAAAAGTAGAATGGGAGGCAGAGCCTTCAGTTTTCAGGCCCCTCTTCTGTGGAACCAGCTTCCAGTTTGGATTCAGGAGACAGACACTATCTCTACTTTCAAGATTAGGCTTAAAACTTTCCTTTTTGCTAAAGCATATAGTTAGGGCTGGACCAGGTGACCCTGAATCCTCCCTTAGTTATGCTGCAATAGACGTAGGCTGCCGGGGGATTCCCATGATGCATTGAGTGTTTCTTCTTCAGTCACCTTTCTCACTCACTATGTATTAATAGACCTCTCTGCATTGAATCATATCTGTTATTAACCTCTGTCTCTCTTCCACAGCATGGAAGAGAGTCTTCCTTCTCTCTCCCCAAATGGTCGCAGCAGATGGCCCCGCCCCTCCCTGACCCTGGTTCTGCCAGAGGAATCTTCCTGTTAAAAAGGGAGTTTTTCCTTCCCACTGTCGCCAAAGTGCTTGCTCATAGGGGGTCCTATGATTGTTGGGTCTTTCTCTGTATCTATTATTGTATGATCTACTGCTGCGACTGCTGTTGTGATTTGGCGCTGTGTAAATAAAATTGAATTGAATTGCCACAATTATTACAGTCAATTAAAAAGTGCATGTGATACTTTTTAATTGACTGTAATAATTCGCTTAGTTTAGTCATCTGCATATATAAGTGCATGTGATAATTATATATGCAGATGACTAAACTCTATTTAACCACCTTCTACAGTCATTGTTCTACAGTTACTGTCTTGTACCCATTTCTGGCTCACTTTAAAAAAAAAGTAATGCATAATAAACTCTGATGTAAACAAAAACCATAAAAAATAATAACTTAATTTAAGTTTTAATCTGTAATCTTAAGCATCTCCAAGCAGGAGATTACATGAAATTTCCCCTTGTGGGACTAATAAATAATAATCACCTGGTGGTGATTGGGATCAGATGGCAGGGGACAGGTCTGGTGTGCTCAAATGTGTAATGAAGGTGTGCTGGGAGCATCTAGCAGAAGCCCCAGTCCGTGAAATATTAGGTCTTTAGCTATTGCTGCGAATGCAAGTGTGGTTCTTTTTTTTTACCAGACTGTTGATTTGGCCACTCCTTAAGTTCTTATTTAATTATGTCTCCCTGACCTGTATCAACATCTGTTTGAACCTTTTGTTGAGTGATTTTAAACAGCTACCAAACTGATATTCTATACTTGGAAACAAATCCTGAATAGAATAGAATAGAATAGAATGCCTTTATTGTCACTATACAGATGAACTGTATAACCAATGATATATACAATGTACCTTTATTCCCACCTGCCAGGGCTTTTTTCACTGATGGCTTCTTCAGCAGTTTCTTTACTGCAACACACACATTTGTACATCTTTGTAAACAGTCATTGATACAATGCATTCCTTAGCGCAACTATAACTAAAAACTAAAACTTCTAAGGGCTTGGCACTCATATACACACTCAAATACACACACACATAAAGGTCAACTGAGGTAACACAGTATTTATGGTCGAAGCATCAAATTCCTGTTGAGTAATCCATATCCAGTGTTCTATTGTGTTTATGCCTTTATATTTTCAGAATATCTCCTGTCTGAGTCACCCCTATTGCTTAAATAGGAATGGGAAGGGACTGTCATAATAAATTATGGATAGTACACATTCAAAGAGCATTTTCTGAGTAACTTGTACTTTGTATAAATTCCCTAGCTTTGGCACTCTAGGTACTCTCTCATTAAAAAAGTATGATGTGGAACAAAGTCTGACTTGTGGAACAGGTTAATTATATTTTGTAATAAGACATTTACTTGGCAGAAAAAAAGTTAATCCTGCCAAACAGGTAATTATCTCAACCATCAAGTTATACTCACATGATCTGTATTCTGATCTGGTGAAAAAACAGCAAAAGAGAATAACAGGTCATAATGAAAGTTATGGCCCGAAAGTGGCCATTACAGTATACAGAAGCATCTGTGCCGAGGATGGCCTGGAAGCCTCGAGGTCAAAATGGTGATGGCTAACCAACCGGACATAGTAGTGGTGGACAAGCAGCCGTAGTGATAGATATAGCGATATTGAGTGACAGCAACATCAGGAAGAAGGAACACGAAAAGCTGGAGAAGTACCAAGGGCTCAGAGAAGAGCTCCAGAAGATGGGGAAGGTGAAGGTAACAGTGATCCCAGTGGTAAGCACTCGGTGCAGTGACCCCCAAGCTAGGCAAGTGGCTCCAGCAGATCCCACGAACAACAACCGAGATCCCCGTCCAGAAGAGCGAAGTCCTAGGAGCAGCTAAGATACTGCGCAAGACCCTCAAGCTCCCAGGCCTCTGGTAGAGGACCTGAGCCTGAGGACTGCCCACAGGGCGAGAGGGGATTTTTTAAAAATATATTTATATGTGTTAATGTGTGATACCTTCCTTTTACTTCTGTATGAGCTCCTCTTTTAATTTTGCCTTTGACTTAAGCTCAGTGCAAATAAAGAAGCCACTTTTGCCTGCCCCCTTGTCACAGTGGGTTGCTCTACTTATTTGATTTGGCAGAGTTTTACGCCGGATGTCCTTCCTGACACAACCCCAAAGGAGATTTTTGTCTCAAGCTGGAAACCAGTGATCCTTCACTTGCCAAACAAATCTGTTAACCACTAATACTAATGAAAATAAAAATCTGACAAAAGAAAGTCAAAGACATAACAAGATGAATTACCAAAAGGAAACAGTTAATTAGAAAAAGTGCTCAGATCAGGGTGGTGTCATGACACTAGGAAAGCACAGACAGAACAAGAACAAATATATATTCCTAATATAAAGGTGTGTATCATTTACCTGGTCGCGCAGCTGCAGGAAGAGCTGTGGTGCTGGTCTCGCTGATCAGCTCCTGTGGAACATTAATGGGCTCTAAAACACACAGAAGGCATGATAATTAGTGGAGAAGACAGATATGGATCATTCACATCTGCAATCAAATGATGATATTAATCAATTAAAAATTGTGTTTTTGTTTTGTCTAATCCCTGCTAATTTGCAGTTTTTAAAATAAAATTATTTTTTTCTGTTGTATAATTACAGGTAAAGCTTTCCAGTACTATATAAGTTTAAACAATCTCCAGATAAATATATATTAAAATAATGTATATATCATTCTGAAATCACAATTCTAGGTACTTTAAGCATATCTCGCAATACTTAATAAATATTAACATTATTAGGTTATTCAAATTGGATTATTACTTAATTAAAAACAATTCACCAAAGTTGTTCCACCTACTGGTGAGGCTGAAGGAGGCGGTCCAGTGAGACAGGGCCTGTGAGTGTATACCGTGGGCATATGAGCTGATGTAGTTGTGCCGTCCCTGCAGCCTATGAACCCTAACAGGGCCCCCAGCTGGGCCCAGGATACCTCTGTATGAAATGACAAAATAAAAGTATTATTATCACAGTGGAAAAAGATCATCATTATGACCAGTTATGAGAGTTGCTACTCGTGAAGTCAATTACAAATGCAGCTTGAACTAGTGCATCTGGACCGAGACCTTGTTAAAAAAAAGATTTGTGTCTAAAAACACACACGTGCGCAGGAAGTTCTTTTCATAGTAAAATAAATAACTAAAAAAAACCTTTATGGGACAAGGAGAAGACACAGCTGTGAAGGAGAAAAAAAGATAAGAATAAGCATAATTTTTCTTCTCAGTAGGCCACCGAGGCCCTCTGCAGAGGAATGAGGAGGTCACTCAGGGCTGAGAACTTAATCCTCCTTTCATGCACATTCCTTCATGGTGTTGGTGTTTTGTTAAGGTTCAGCAGGCAGCCGGACTCACACTGCTCCCTATTATGTCACATCTTGGCAGCGGAACACAGAGTCTAATCCACATGTTTGAAAAAACAATTCTCACTCCAACGGCACCGCTGTGACGAGGTGTTCATGCTCTGAAAAGGCTGCTAAGAGTATCATATACAGGGAACTAAAAACAATGGCAAGAAGCAGTGGAAGTAACAAGGAAGTAATCAGTGAACCACAAAGCAAAATAACTAAATAGAGCTCCACCACGAAAAAAAAGTTGCATTAAACTAAAAAATAAATAAATAAATATAAAAAATACTAAAAAAAATGACTGAAGACCCTGAATAAGAAGGAGAGCGTCTAATCATTAAAAATGTAATAAAAGCAAAGAAAAATTAAACTGAAGGAACACAATATTGAAAAAGCCTAGGTTAAATTTAAATTTAAAAAAAAACTTTAATTGTAAATATACACACAAAACAATACAATATACTAAATGAAAAAATGAATGAAAATAAATTAAAAATGAACCAACAATACAAAATAGAATCAACTATGAGAAAAAACTGATTTTAAATAAATACATGAATAAAAGTTAAAAAAAGAAAAGAAAAAAAGAAAAACTAGTAACAAAAACCCTCCAAACAAAATATGGAAATGAAAATCAGAAGATAAGAAGGATTTACTTTGTTTTCTATTTTTTTTTCCATTTCGCTTATTTTTCTGTCGGTCCTTTCAGCCAACCACGTCACGGTCCTCTAAATATTACCATGGTTTAATTGTGTAGCTTTAAAATCAAGCAAGTGTACAACATTATGTTTTAGTGTTTTCAGTGATAGACTGAAATATCACAGTTAATATTTACTATAATATGTAATTAAAACATATTTTGGTAAAAACTGAAGATAAATTTAACAAAGTACAGCTGATATGAAAGGAAAGCTGTACCTGTGGACTGCAGCTCCACAGATGGATGAGACAGCAGCATAGACTCCTGTCCCAAACACAGACATCCTCCACTGTGTGCACTGTGGTGGACATAAAACCACCACGGTGTCCTGGGTCAGGTCTGCTCCACGTGTTGTACAGGTCACTGGATAGGGCACTGAGTGGAAAACAGAAGATGTCCAGTCAAAATACTCCATTAAAATCCTTGATCTAGGTAGTAGGTTTCATCTTCATTAAATAGAGTAAGCTAGTTTAGTCAAGAGGCAAGACCAAGCATTTTTAAAAACAGACAGAAACATAAGAAAAGACAAACGACAGAATACAACTAAACAGATTTCTTTTACTATTAATATATAGTATTAATTTCATTATAAAATAATTTTCTAAAAAGATAAAAGGGGGAAGGAACATTTATAAAGTGTAAAAGTATAAACATATATCAAATGTAAATGTTAATAATAATAACAACAACAAAAAAGTAAAATATGTAAAATGCTTATAAAAACAGAAAATAGCTATGGCTATTGGTGATTTTACTACAATTGTGGTTTTTTTTGTTGGTTATTTTTTGCAGCAATTACACAAATAGACATGTATTTATATATGTGTGTGTACTTTACATTTTCTACAGTGTATGATTCTAAGAAACAAAAGTGACCAGAGAACTTTAAAAAACATAAAAATGATTCAAAACTAATGAAAATTAAATTAGAAGAGTAACATCATGGCTTGGAATATTATCTGTTTTTGCTGAACACTCATCATAGATGAATGAAAGGTGGAATGATGGTACAATGGTCATCTTTATTACTTGAAAAAGCAGGAACTGAATGCACGTATTAATTTATTTTGGAACTTTGCTGATCCACACAGGGTCACAGTTCAAGGAACTCAGTCAATATCTAAGCAGGTGAACTGGAGCTTTACACAAGTTGGTCTCTTGGAGACAAACAAAAGTCTAAACAAAGTCAGATTCCAAGATCACCAGTTCAAACTGTATGTAAGTACAAGTTAGTGGAACACCAGCGTCCTGGTGTTATATCTCTATGGACTGAAAGACTGCCAGCCCCTGCTTCTTTCTGGTTATGTCAGGCATCAGGCATAAAATTTGTGCCAAGTCAAATAAGTGGATCTATCTGCTGTCAGGCAATCAGGTATTTTTCAGGACTCACCACTAACTTCTGAGCCAAGTACTGAGGAGAGCAGGAACAAAAGGCCTGATGGGGAAAAAACAGATCACACAAAGTTTTCATCATATGAAAGAAAGGAAGAAAAGAAAAAAGCAAAAAAAAAAGGAAAAAAAAGAACAGAAGTTACCTGTCAGAGGCAGCAGCACAGACAGCTGAGGCATTTCTGCAACAAGCTCAGTATACTGAAAAACATACATAATAATGAGTATTATTTTTAAATCGTATTTTTTTTAAACGAGTTTACCCAGCCTCCTCTGGCTCATCCAGCCAAAAACAAACCATCACCTATATCTCATAAAGCAAATAGGCAAGAGCTTTCCATTGGTGTGGAGGTCTAAGTTCAGCAACATTATCTACCCCCCAAAATGAGGCCAGCTGACTACTTGAACAAAATGAATGACTAGGTTTTCATTTCCTTTCCTTGCATTCCTCATTCCCCGAATTCCAAAAGAATATTCCAAGAGAAAGACACCAGGATTCACCAGGGTTAAATTGTGAAAGAGTGATTCTAAGAGCATGAGACATTATTTTCAAACACGGACTGGCCACCACGGAGACTCTTTGGGATGCACTGGAGTGATCAGACTCTCCCATCATTAGTATGAGATGATAAAAAACCAATGCAGCTCTGGATGGAAATAAACATTGACACAGCTGAAATGATAAAATTCAGCTCATCGACATGATCCTACTGCAAATCCGTGCCATAATCAAAGCTAAAGGTGCTCCAACAACGTATTTTATTTTGGCCAATAAACCAGTCCACAAGCTAATTATGGATTAGTAAGAAATCTAGAAATGTAGTTATGTGTGAACCACACATCACGTAAGTGAGATTAGAAAACAAAGTCATCACATCACTAAAGAAGAAGAGGCAGTAAATGGTTAAATGTCAAGTCCACAGCTATCTCAGGAAATCGTCTAAAATTTGTTTGTGACCGAATCCACCAATGACACAACAGCCAGTAACCAGTAGTGGTTTGTAAGCTCCATATATTCCTATATACAAGGACTAATCAGAAGCCAGAAAGAAAGCCAGTACCAATCCCTAAGCTTGGCAGGTTAAACAGTCGATAAATACATTAAAAAAAGATGAAAAAAAAAAGAGATAAGCAGTTAGTAGAGGGTGTAATAAACATACAGCAAGTAAATAAAGTTATTGGTTAATGACTGAATGGATGTAAATCACCCAGCCTGTTAGTCATTTCTAAAGAAAGATCTCTGTGCAGAATCAGCAGGAATTTCAGTCTTACGAACTGTTTCTTCAGCAGACGTCTCTGAGGAAAACTGTTCAGACTGTTCACACGTTATTCCCTGGAAGGAGCAGCAGGCGGTAAAATGACAATGCTGAGCTGGTGTCGATCGCCTGGCGAGAGAGAGGTAGCCCTTTAAATAAGCGTTCGCTCTCACAAGACACACACACACATTCATACACACCTTACTGTGGTGACTTCAGAGGGGGAGGGAGGAGGGGCCTCAGTGACAGGTCAACCTGAGATGGAGCAGAGGAGTGAACTGCAGAAAAACCTTGAGATAACTGTTGTGCTTTAGTGCTATATAAATTGTATTTATATAGCACTAGATATTTTTGTACAATAACCTGAGTGGGTTTAATAAAGACATGCCTTAAAAGCCCATGAGGTACACTGAAAGGATTAAAAATGTGGTGCTTCTAATTTGTATTTTTTATGCTACTTCCAGTATATTTGGAGCCCTAAATTATTGAAAGTGCAATAGCTAGCTACATCACAGCAGCTTCAGGACGGAAAACCACATTTAAGCTTTGTTATAAACAGAGGCGCCACCAAAGGGGGGCCAGGGAGGCACTGATCATCCCCTAAATTTGCTGGCTCCCCCAGTGGCCACCCCTGGTAAGACTGTCATATGTTGTTAATAATTCTAATAAACATGTGCACGAGAGAGGAAAACACACTACAGTGAGTTGAAACCCTGACTTGTTATTTATTCCTGCTTAAAACAGATTATTAAGGATTTCAAAATCTTATTTGGTTTTCATATTTATTTATATTTTCAGTGATATCAAATTTAATAGCAGATAATTAAATAGGTATATTTAATTCTTTTCGCTCTCTCTTTTTTGCCATATTTTTCAAGTAACCTATATTTGACAACAGCATAATAAATCTGGAAATTGTGTTTTTTTGTGTGTTTTAGTGGCTCCCCTATGAAAAAAAATCTGGTAGTGCCACTGATTACAAATTCCACAACCACAATTTTTCCATAACATTTTTTCCTATCAGCAACTTCAAGTGTAAAAAATATCTAGAAAAAAAATGCAACCCTTTTTTTTTTTTTAATTTCCGGCGCTGCTCCGAGCTGGCAGCCAGTATCAGCAGCTCCGACCTGACCGAGTCCTTTTTTCTCTTTAATACATGTTTCTTTGTTGTTTTTGTTTTTCTATTGTGGACTGCTGCCCCCCACAATGGAGCTCAGAATTCTATGGACAGTGGTGTTCTTTATTACATTTTTTACGGCGTCTTTGTCCGGCGAGCGCGTGGAGGTCCAACCTCCTATTGTTTACAGCAGGGATCAGCTATTAGCCCTCGGAGCATCCGCTGCCCTGCCTACCGCCGAGCAAGCTAACATCCCCTGCGAGGTGAGGAGGAAGAGACGCGGTACTCGGGCCGGGACCGGCGTCGCAGTAAAGTTAGGAGGTACTGGCCAGCGATTCCATTTATTATTATGGGGAATGTGAGATCTCTCCCCAATAAGTAGATGAACTGGCGGCTCTTACCCAACATCAGGGGAGCTACAGGGAGTGCAGCCTGATGTGCTTCACAGAGTCGTGGCTAACTACGCTAACTCCGGACTCACACGTAAACATGGATGTTTTTCATCTGATCCGGGCCGACAGAACAGCGGAGAGTGGTAAGAAGAGAGGAGGGGGTCTGGTTGTGTTTGTGAACGATAGATGGTGTAACTCTGGGCATTTATCTATCAAAGAGACGCCATGCTGAAAGGACTGTTACGCAGTGAGGGGTGGTGAGGGAAACATCAGACTTCACTCCATCCCAATTAAAGTAATTGTTTTATTGTCTCTTGCCAACATCATGCACATGCAGACAGCAACTTTTCAAAATGGCCCCCCAATCCATTTCCTGCTCCCTTTAAATACTCTAAAGACACACCTTCTTAATACAGACTGGCCTATAAAAGAGCTGCAATTGAGGCAGGCTTCCTCTTTACTGGGAAAACAAGATGGCCACCACAAAGGTAACCTGCAACACTTTGTTACTTAAATGCTTCCCAACAAGGACATTGAGCTGCTAGTGGTTAGCATGAGACCGTACTATCTACCGCGAGAGTTTATACCTCCCTGTCCTCCACTCTCCCCACCTTCACCCAGTATGCCACCTGCTACACCAGAGACAATAAAACATTGGACTTATTGTATGCCAACACCAAGGAGGTGTGTATAAACCTCTAGTACACAGAGAACCAGTTGTGAAACGCACAGTAAGGAAATGGTCGGCAGAGACTGAAGAGGCCCTGAGGGACTGTTTCCGTTCTACTGTGTGGAACAACCTCTGCAGCCCCCTGGAGGATGACCTCAACAGCATCACAGACTGCATTACGGATTACATGAACTTCTGTGTGCACAACACCGTGCCCATCAAAAAGGTACGTTGTTTTTCTAACAACAAGCCATGGATAAATCCTGAAATTAAGGCTCTCCTCAAAGAGAAGAAGAGAGTCTTTAGATCTGGAGACAAACAGGAGCTGAGAGTTGTCCAGAAGAAGCTGAAATGGATAAGGCAAGGGAAGGAAAACTACAGGAGGAAGATGGAAGAGCAGCAACAGGACAACATCAGAGGGCTTTGGATGAGAGGTGAAACGTCTTCAAGTAACTTAAAGAAGTCCAGACGCTTTTCTTTGCATGCTCCTTTGACCTCAGGACAAAAACCAACCCCCCAGGCTGCAGGAGACTTGGGGTGGGTGAATGACCTAAATAAATATTTTAATAGGTTTGATCAACCACCCACCCCTCCCACAGCATCGTCCCCCCTGCTGCAATCTCCTTCATCTTCAGGGCCTGCCTGTCCTTCATCTCAGGACTTCACACCTCCCAGCTCCCAGTCATTACACCCACCCCCGGCTTCTGTGGACTCCAACATACACCCCCCTCCCCCAAAATCCACTCTTTCTATCTCAGCACTTCAAGTGAGGAACGAGCTTCGCAAGATCAAGGTGAGAAAAACTGCAGGTCCAGATGGCATCAGCTCCTGGCTCCTGAGATGCTGCACAGATGAACTGTGTGGCATCCTAGGATATCAGTTCAACCTGAGCCTGTCACTGGGGAAAGTACCACAGATGTGGAAGACCTCCTGTGTGGTACCGGTACCAAAGACCTCCCATCCCAAGGACCTCAGCAGCTACAGGCCGGTAGCCCTGACATCGCACCTGATGAAGACCCTCGAGAGGTTGGTTCTAAACCATCTGCGCCCCCTGGTGAGGTCTTCATTGGATCCGCTGCAGTTTGCTTACCAGCCTGGCATTGGGGTGGAGGACGCCATCATCTACCTCCTGCACCGAGCTCTGACTCACCTGGAGAAGCCTGGAAGCACTGTGAGGATCATGTTCTTTGATTTCTCCAGTGCTTTCAACACCATCCAGCCACGACTTCTGAGAGACAAGCTGGAGCTATCGGGAGTGGACCACCACATGTCCCAGTGGATGCTGGACTACCTCACAGAACGTCCACAGTATGTGAGGGCACAGGGCTGTGTCTCTGATACACGGGTCTGCAGTACGGAGGCCCCACACGGAAACTGTGCTGGCCAGCTCCCCCACTGACCCCAGTAAGCACCCCCATACTCCGCAACCCGCCAGGGAAAGGGGGCCAGGCCCATCCGGACCGGGGCCCAGAACAGCAGCGCCGCCCGGCCCCACAGAGCCGGGGACAGCCCACCTGACCCCACCTCAGAGAAAACTGCACCCACCCTGTCATCCACTCATCTTCCAGACTACACAAGACAATAGACGCCCAGGCTGAGATCTTCCTCCACCTCTCCTGTATCTCCCCCTCCTGCAGAGTGAGTTCCTGAAGAGAGGAGAGCTCCTGCAAGATGTAACAACCTCCCCCACCAGTTGAAGAGCCCCCCAGGTGGCTTGATGCACTGGCGGCACCCTGCGCCAGGGCCGGGCCCCCCACGCTGCCACCTACAGAAGTTCTCTGACGACTCTGCCATAGTCGGCCTCATCACAGGTGAGGACGACTCAGAGTACAGACAGTGGACTCTGGACTTTGTAGACTGGTGTCAGCAGAACCACCTGCTGATCAACGCCGGGAAAACCAAGGAGTTGGTGGTGGACTTCCGGAGACGCAGACCCACCACATTGACACCGGTGAACATCTAGGGGGAGTGGACATTGAGATAGTGGACTCTTATAGGTACCTGGGTGTTCACCTGAATAATAAACTGGACTGGAGCCACAACACTGATGCTCTTTACAGGAAGGGTCAGAGCAGACTCTACCTGCTGAGGCGGCTGAGGTCATTTGGAGTACAGGGAGCACTTTCAAAGACCTTCTATGACTCTGTGGTGGCATCTGTCATTTTTTACAGTGTGGTATGTTGGAGCAGCAGTTTATCGACAGCTGAGAAGAAGAGGTTGGATAAACTCAGCAGGAAGGCCAGCTCTGTTCTGGGATGCACCCTGGACCCAGTGCAGGTGGTGGAGACAGAAGGACTCTGGCCAAAATAACATCTCTGATGGACAGAGTCTCTCACCCCATGCATGTAAATGTTGCTGAATTGCAGAGCTCCTTCAGTGACAGACTGCTGCGTCCTCGATGCATGAAGGAGCGTTTCCGTAGGTCCTTCCTCCCTGCAGCTGTCAGACTGTACAATCAACACTGCTCCCAACAAACATAGATGTTTATATCTGCGCTGTAACTGCAGTAATTTAATCAATCGATTCGCACTACAACCTGGTTTGACTCTTATCTGTAGTTATTTATATTTAATTTAATAACTGTACAGTACTCTGTTTATAGTAACCATTGTCCATATGTAAATATGTAAGAAAAATTGTGTATGTTTCTGTCCTGTTTCTTGTTTTACTTTGAAGGTCAATGTCTTATGTGAGTGTGTCTGGTTTTGCGTCCCTAGTCTCATTAGCCCTGATTTCTCCCAGCTGTGTTTCCCGCCTGTCTCCCATTCTTCGATTGCTCCTGTGTGTGTATATAAGCCCTGTGTTTCCTTTTGCTTGTTGCTGGTCCTTCTGTGTTGTCTCCCTGTGTTCCTCTATGCTGTCATTCTTCATGTACCTCCAATCTCAGTCTCCTTGTGTTCAGGCTTTTTGTTTAAAACAAAGCATTGCGAAGGCCCACGGTGGGTGTTGACGCGATGTGATTTCTGCCCAGTGGCGGGAGTAACTATGACTCTCTTAAGGTAGCCAAA